AATTCCTAGTTTTAGACCATAAAGTTTAACTGATCACTTTTGTCTTTTTGCATCATTTGATTCTCTTCAGTTCTCATCATTAATGTATCTTCTATGAGTTCATTACAGTAGTAGAGATTATTTGTCTCGTACTTTATGCAGTAAGTTCTGTTTGGTTCAGTACCTCTGCATCACCCCAGTTCTTGTGGTCGTAGTAGAAAATGAAGCAGCGGGAGCCAAACCGTGTCCATCCAGAAGGACAGGCAGGGGCATCTTAATATGTGAGGACAAGAAAATAATAAGAAATGAAAGACAAACCACTAACAGTTTTCTAAGCTAGTAACAAATGGACATGTCTGTGTTCAGCTCATTCAGTTCTGCATGTCTAGTCTTTATATTAGACAGTTTGATGAAACACTGAAGTTTTATAGAAGATACTTATTAACCTGCTGAGTTGTTGAAGTCTGGAACTGGAACCTGTGAACACAAAGACACACAGCTGATAACGGACCCGTCCTCCTGCTGGCTTTAACATCATTTGTTGCTGCAGGTTCTGTGGATCAAATGTAAAATCTTCCTGCAGCAGAGAGCCTGTGGAGTTTCTCTGAAATGGTAAAAAGATCTTATATGCAGCAAACACCCAGACGAAAGCAGAACTGCTGCATTGCACGCAGCACTTTCTGGTGTCGCTGCCTGGTTACCATGACAACACCAAATCTCCATGACTTTTGGAGTTTTTCTGGAAACCACTGGGAAGACCCTTCTTGCTGTTATCCACTTTTAGTTCTGTATTTGGGTTTTTAACTGATGTCCCTAAACAGACCTGAAGATCAGGCGGATCGATGAAAATTGGACAATATTCACTTATTTTTTGCTATTTTTGTTTTGCTATATTCCATTACCCAGATCAGGAAACAGTTTATGGAGAAACAATTTACTCACAGCTTCAGCAGTCATCATGATGCAGCCGAGGATCAACACCAGCTGGAGACCGGACGCCATCTGTCCAAAAACAAATGTAGCTTTTTATACCCAGAACAGCAGAGATGGAGGCAGCAGATCAGCTTCAGATGAACAGAAAAGTGAGTTAAACATGGAGAAACTGCATGTCACCTTTGCTGCAGTGAGTCCTGACAGGAAGAGTAACACCAGATGGAAGAAAAGTCTGACCTCGTCTTTCTGATGAGGATCTTGGAATGTTGGAAACATCATGCTTCCTTCTCGTAACAAGGTTGTTTCCTGAGTTTTATCTCTGAGTTCCTGCAGAACCACTTTGCTTCACCACGTCGTCTGCATGCTGCTGTCTTTTCCTGTAAACTTGCTCACTGTTTCTGCTCTTGTCTACATGCAGCCTGCACATCTGATGGTGTCATGATTCTGGGATGTTGAAGAACACTTGGCCCATTTAACAAACACTCATGGACTCATGGAGCCTCTTTTATAGTTCTGTGACACAGTTAGGGACTGGAGGGAAGCTTGATTTCTAAATATCTTACATATATTAAACTTCTAATTTTTGATTTGTATGTCATTTCCCCCGCTAAAGCTTGCTAATAAAATATTGAAGTCTAAATTAATGTTGTGGACAGTTAAATTAATTTAGTCACCTAAATATTAATCCTTCTGATTAACATAAATTTGATGTTTATGATCCTAGTAAACAAGGGGCTTCAGACGTTTCTTTAGTTCAGATAAATAATGACCCTGGGACTCAGTCCGAGTCTCTAAAATGCTCTAAGCTGTAACAAGCACGTTATTAATAGAGAGAGAGCTGCCGTGAACAGGCGTGGTTTAAGCTGTCGGGCATCGGCGGGCTACTCCGATGTCTGATTCATGAACTGTAGCGGGTCATAACGTCTGGATCTGAAGGTAGTTAGAGCTTAGACGCATCTTAACCAAAATGTCCTCTACATTTGTATCTGTGGTAATAATTAGAGGCTTTTCGGACCCGTTAGTCGGAGAGCTGGTCAGTAATCAGTCCGCTGGAGTCTGGGAGGTGTTAGACTGAGTACTGTGTAATAACACCTGCAATAACACAACATCTTAACATGGGCAACCTGAAATAAACATATTAGTCTCTTAACTCACTGACTGTCTTTATTCATTCTAAGGAGAAAAGTGGTGCTGCTTTGTAAATGTGACTGGCCACAGCAAAACTGTCAACACGTTTACTGAAGGTTTGGATCTGATCTTTTCTTTCAACATGCTGTTCTAACCACAAAAGTTCTGCAAACTGAAAACATTCCTGCAGATTTCATTTCATCTGGTCGTATTAGTAACCCTGATGATGGTTTCTTTCCACCAGTATCTTCTGCTTATCTTTTGAATGACATTTTTAAAACCTTTTAGTAAATCACTTCATCTAAGCTGATGTGCTATTTGCCTGGTTTTGCTTTCTGCATTTTTGCTGAGATGATTTGATATTAAGCTGATAAATATCTGCCAACAGTAATGCTCTAATTTCTGCTTTAATTCAGGATTTTATTCTGGTTCATCAGATTACAGACGAGTCAAAACGCTTCAGGTCTTCATATGAATCTCCTAATTCTGACTTAATCCAGATTAAAAGATATTTCAGGAGTTAAAATCAGCTCCCCAAACTAAATGATCAATGTTTTCACCAGACTCATAGATCAGTGCTTAAAGTGAAACTAATCCCTAACATTTTTACCAATAAACTCTCTGAATAAGTTATTTAAGGTTCTATCTCTATATGTCTGTGGGAAATCTGACATTTTTATGCAAATCTGTTTAGTTGTCAGTTTCACTTTCACAAGGTTGTGAATTATACTTTAATTTTTAGTTTCTTGTTTGGTTCCAGTAGATCATAAAATTCATGTTTTCATTGTGTTTTTACTCCATTTTTGCAAAGAATCCTGGAAACCTTTGAATGATTTATATTCATAATTTTCATGGCATATTGAAAACAATCTGTTACGTTTAAAATGTTTTCAAAGTATGAAAAATAAACTTGATACTGAATTTGAAAATGAGGCTAAAATAATCATGTGCAGGTTTTCAAACCACTTAATGAAGTAAAAATATTTGACAGCATAAAGATCATTAAATCAAGTTTGTGTTTATAATGTTACTTTTTATTTCAGAAGATTAAAAACCCATTAAGCCCAAAAGAAATCCTACCAAACACAGACTTGCTATCAGAGCAGCATTCCCTCTTATCCATTCGTTCCCCTTAGACCTTTTAAACTTTTGTCATCTTACAACCACACAATTAATTTCAGTTTATTAAAAGTATTAAAACTGAGCAGAGATGAAGCTGAGAAGATTTTCAGCAGATGGTTGGAGGCTTCAGACTTTTTTGGCACAAACAAATGGGCATGGCTGGGTACATGGTCTGTCGTTCCACTTGCTCCCTGTTAGGAGAGAAAAGCACCAGCATGACGAAACATCTGATTCTTCTACATTTCCATCTTAGTTCATGTTTTATTGAATTACATGGAACTTTTAAGCCAGGTTCAGGTTTCAGCATTCCTTCATTCAAAAACTAAATAACAAACAAATCAAAAATGGGTTTATCTTTACCACCGCAGTTCATTTCCAGACAGTTTTCTGTTTGTTGGTAATTATCAGGCTGACTGAGAGCGAAGGCAGAATAGTCAAACTTTGATCCGTCGCTCCACATCCACTGTCCCTCCTAACACAAATGAAATGTTAGCTTGTAGTTAACTAACAGTACAGTTACTGAAATATCATTTACTGCAGGAGAGAGTACAGTCCTCATCAAACACAAGGCCACACACACTCTCAGATGAGTGTGTGTGTGTGTTATGCAGATAAACATTCTGTGTTTATCCACACACAGTACAAGTTGAATGTGTGTGAACAAGCCGCTCATCCAGCGCGTCACCTGGTCTGGTTTTCTGAACCTGCTGTGATGGCGTCATGGCCGCCGGTCCATGTGATCGAAGGGCTGCCAGTGCCCCGTACGACCATGTCACTCAGGAAGTCGTTTTCTTCGTTGGTGTGGACTGAGGCCAAATTCCCACCAATAGAAATGCAGAAGGCCTAATGCAGAGCAGACACAGCAGAAAAAGTTACAGTTGGAAAATAAATATCTTCAAATGAAGAATCAAATGTGTCTGAAACTTAAGCTAAAATGTTAGAACAAAAATGGTCATTTTCCTGAAATTTTGTTGAAAGATAAATTCAGATAAATTCAACAAATTAAAACAGATAATGAAAAGCTTTGGTTATTTCATGAAGTGTTTTTAAATTATTTTAAAAATCATTTTTATGCTAGTATGAGCCATTCAGCAGCAGTGAGTTTATTTTTTTAATCAGTTAAGGAAGTGAGACTGATGGTCTGCAGGATGAGTCTGATTATTTAACGAACGTGACAGAGGATCTATGTGCCTGTTGTGTTATTTTAAAGCTGAAAACAGAGCAGCTTCATGTTGGTGAGCAGCTGAGGAGGATGTTACGAACTGAAGCAGAGTTGTGTTTGTGCTCCTCTGCACCTCGGCATCGCTCCACGTCCTCGGGCTGAAGTAGAAAATGAAGCAGCGACTTCCAAGCTGGGTCCATCCAGGAGGACAGGCTGGAGTCATTTAATGTGAGGAGGAAAAAATTCAAAAGATATTGCATTAAATTTGAATAAATGATAATGAATTCATAGGTATATGTTAACCCTTCTATAGTTAAATTCACTCTCCAGATGCTTATTGGTGATGACAGAACTTTTGATCAATTAATGACTCAGTTTGGCTGCACAAGGGGGAGAGAGATCAGTCCATACGGAGGCCTCAGTCCTCGACCAGGCTGTTGACCTTTGCTCTCTGTCACAACCTGCTGTCCTGTCTGACAATAAAACCTTTCAAAGAAAATGTTTTGCTGCTGGGATGGTGAAAGCCTCCCTGTGTCATGATAACCACACACTTCCTCTTTAGTCACGTCTGCACAAATGAAGCTGTATGTGTCGGCAAACTGCATCCAGTTTTCTGTTTCCTGTAAAGTAAAGCTTCTTCTGTCATGTGGAGAGGTTGGTGGTGGTGAGGAGAGACACAGAGACCCAAGTTGTAGAAGAAAAGGATGAATTTAATGAAGAGTGTAGCTGAAAAACAGTCCAGATCTCAGGCAGAGCAGAAACAGAGGCTCAGCACCAGCAGCAACTCAGTTAAACAGAGACTAACAACGAGCTAATGCCACCACAGGACTTAACAGTTCAACTCTGCCGGCAGACGAACTGTCACAGACAACAGGTGGGTTTAGATACACAGGGAGGGTAATCAGGTAACTAGACACACCTGGGAAACAATCAACAGAGACTCAGGACAGAACCTGAACACAGAAAACCCTTCAAATAAATACACAGAAACACGGATCATGACCCCTTCATGTTTTTGTTCTGGGGTTAATCTGCACGTTTTGGACCAGAACCCGTCTTCTACCTGAGCGCTTTGATGGTTGGACATTCCCATCATGCCTGTAGTTGCACAGACAAATGCTGCACCTTTAAGCTTTGGTAAGTTGTTCCCAGGAGGAACCAGACTGGAGCAGCTCCATGATTCTCTGATAGCTTCTCTAATTTCTTTTAACTTTCTCATCGTGTTGAATAAGAGAGTTTTTCAGCTGCAACCTTGAAATAAATCTAGAGGCGTGACGCCAGCTTACTGAAGTGTCTGTTAACCTGTCAGAGGTTTGTGGAAGGAAACTCAACAGGTTCCACTGCTTTCTCTGATAACCACCAAATGTATGTCAAATTCAGGGAACGTTCAAAACAATCTCTAAGAAATGTTCTCACTAAGTCTTCTGGCATTTAGCAAATAGAAATAATTTTGGTAACTAACTACCAGTGTGACAAACTTGATTCTGCAGGGGTTTATTTAACTGTGGCTTCGTGCCACGATCAACAACACGTAGAGGAAACGCTGCACTGTGCAGCACAGCGACGCTCCAAGACTTCAGCTGAAGAAAAAAACAAATGGCTTCCCAAGCTGTCACACAACTGATGCATAAAAAGTACATCTATGACGTTTCATTTATAGCATGTGTAATATCACCAAACCACCAAAGTTTTATAGGAATAATTACCAACCTGCTGAGTTTGGAACTGGACCCTGTGAACACAAAGACACACTGATGACCACTGACCTTAACGGCATCCTCAGATTCTGGTGATAAACTGAAAACTCTTTGTGCATTTGGACATTTTGACATTATTAATCTGTTAAAGATCTTATAATCAGTAGCAAACAGATGGAAACTGATGTATTTACACCCAACAGTCTCTGCTGTCACTGGTTGGTTTTACTGTGAGCTTCAGCTTTCTGAGCTTTTTGGAAGTTTTCTGGAGGCTCTTTGGGAATCTGCTTACTTATTTTCACTTTTTGTTCAGCATTTCAGTTTTTATCTGATGAAACGAACCAAGATCAGACGGAGCAGTGGAATATGGACGACGGATTCACTTGATTTCTGCCGCCTAGTTTAAGCACAGGTTTTGGCTGGGTGCATTTTATGACCCAGCTCATGAAGCAGGTTATGGAGATACAAAAATATCAATTGGCATTAAATAACTTACAGCTTCAGCAGTCATTGTGATGAAGCCGAGGATCAATACCAGCTGAAAACCTGAATCCATCTGTGAAGAAACAATAAATTTCAGCTTTTCAGATAAAGTCAGAGTTGAATCGACAGACAGTAATGAAAAGCTGGATGCTTCCTTTGCTGCATGCAGAGAGAATAATACCAGATAGAAGGACGGATCTTATATAGGATTGTTGAAAACTTCCTTCTCGTAAAATAAAATTAGTCTTCACAAAAAAGACAAAATTTCCAAGACAGATGTTTCCTGGATTTAAATATTTCTTTTCTTTAGCTTTGTGGAATTGTTTTCTAGCAGAAGAATTTGACATTGTGTAATCGTTTCTGCGTTGCGGCTTTCATTGGCTGATTCGGCCATGACGGGTTTTCTTCTAAATGGATGCTGTTGCTTTTTATTCTGAGAACAAACAGAAAACAACCAGGTTGTCATTAAACAAACTGTGATTAAATGATCAATGAACATCTCAGTGTTAATTCAAGAAGGAAAAGGTTTTACTCAGGTGTTCAAGGTAAGAAAAGTTTTCATGGTTCAGGGAGTTGATCTGAGCTGGCATATCGAGGATCTGCTCGTCTCTGTGGTTCTGTTTGACCCATTTTAGGATTCTAGATATTTTATATGAATCTTCAGAAAAGGTTTAAACTTTCAGCATGTGAGCCTGGTGAGAGAAGGATGAACATAAACTGTCCAGAAATATCAACATAATCATCGGCCAAGAGCAAAGGATGCTGGGAGATTTATACAAAAGGCTCAACTTCTTGTGGGTGACTTCAGTCGTTGTTGCTCTCCCCTGTAGATGGCGCTACAGAGCAGCGGCAGCAACCAACAGCATTTATAAGGACTCATTCATCCCAAATGCAATTTACTGAATTATTGACAATTATTCAGATGTGAAGTTTGTGATCCTCTTCTTCATGTATTGTGTTTTTATATGAATGGAAAATTTAATGCAAAGCAGAAGAAGGAAGTAAAATCTGAAACGATCTCCCTCTTTTCTCAGAAAAGATTATATCTTTGTTCAAAAGCAACAAAGCTTCAATCGGCCTTATAAACATTTCTAAAACAAAAACTGGTCTAACTGCATCAACCGGCTGCCACAGACTGAGGAACCCAACGAACACCTGTCCGTCTGCGGCGCCTAACGTTTCCATTTCTTCTTCTATAAAGTTTATACATCTATAGCTAACATCTGTTCACTGATGTCAAATTCCTTGTTTCTGAACAGCAGCTTTGCAAACAAAGTATTCTGATTCATTTTTTCTATATTAGACAAAATAATCTGCACCTGTTTTACATAAACAAAATCCTCACAACTCAAGTTTGATATTTAGCTGCTCAAAACATTTTTAAATGGAACATTAAATTAATTTAAAAACAAACATAAAACATGACTGAGAACAAAGTTTAGTTGTTATAAAGTCAGTCACAGTGAGGATGGACGACGTTCTGCCTCCTGATCGGGTCGAACGGTTCTGCCATCCATTCCAGGAACTTGTCTTGAATAAATCTATAAACATTTCCGATCTATCCTTGGAAATGTTTGCTTTCAAATGCATCATTTGAAAGGTGTTTGCCAGTTGAGTGTCTGTGTACCTGGTCAGGTGATCAGAGATACACGGAAACAGACAGCAGGGGATTTTTCTTCAGGTTACTTTAACACTACAATCTAAAGATACAATATTTAGACAGTTGCATCAGTCGGAGATGTTTTATTGTTGCAGCTGAGTGCAGCAGACTGACAGCCGTTCGTTGTGTCCTCAGTCTGTGGCAGCTGCTTTGAAAAGGCAGATAATTTCACATTTTACTTCCTTCCAAGTTACTTTTTCATTAATATTAATATGTTGCATGTTCATCTTAAACTGAAATAAGTAAATTAAAAATGTAAATCTCCTGTGTATTGATGAGTTTAAGCTCCAGGTGGTTCTGACTGTGGACCAGTTGATTTAAAATGTTTAACAGCTGAGTTCAGGTTCAGTCAGTTGGGTAGAAAGTTTTAATATGTTGAAGTAAAACATCAGATCCTAACAACCAATGAGGATAAACGTAGATTTTCATGTCTCTGATTTCATTGAAGATTAAGAAAAAGTTCAATATTTTACAGATTCTATATCTGTAAAACACACTGATCAGCAAATGTTTTTTACAATTTGTTCATATTCAGCTAAAATATTTTGTGACTTATTGAAGTTTATTATTAAACAGTTTTTAATGTAAAATAAAATTGACAGATCAAATTTATTTCAACCCATTGATCTGCATACCTTCTATCTTTATCAAATAATTTGACTAATGAAATACTAAAAAACATTTTTGTTTTGCATGAATAATATTCAGAGATAATTACATATTTGCTGAACACTTTAAGCGTTCAGCAAATATTGACTGAAAGAATATAACATAACTGTATCCTGCAGTTAAGCAGGATACAAGACTGCCACCAAATTAAATATTAGGACAATATTGTGCGTGTTGTTTGCAGATGTCACATTTAGCGAGACGCTGCAGCTACTTAATGTCTGCGATCTCTGAGACGTCCTGATTCCAGAAACGGCTGCTGGAAGAAGAAACTCCCACTGAAAATCTCAACAAGGTGAAGCTGAACTTGTTTTTGCTCATGTTGTGTTTATGCCACCACAGCTTCCTAATTATTAGAAGTTGTCTGATTTTAGTTTAATATGTTTCTTATTCCAGTTAATTTCCTAAGAAAACTATGAGATAAACATTTTGAATAATTCTTGCCACAGATGGCTTCAGCCCTGCACTTGACTTTGCTGCTTTGTCTGAGCGGAGCTCTCTGGGTCAGAAAAAGTGTAAGTTTTTCATGTTTCTGATCATTTGATGTGTCACTGCTTATGTTTATTTGATCAAACTGTATGATTGCAACAATCCAGTCTGTTTTATGTAAATATCAAGCGACTAGTGAAGCAATCCAGCATATTTACTGTTACTAAGTTCTAATACTTTGTCTCTTTTCCAGCACCAGGCAGAATCAGGTGAGTTCGTCTCATATAACGGTAGACAGTGTGAAGTGATGTCAGCATGGATGCTTAATGACTTTCTGGTTGTTGATCCAAGGAATGAAGATCCAGAGTTTAAATATTAGAGTGTTTGGGACAGCATCTGTTCTACCTGTGTGTGTGTGTGTGTGAATGCTGGTTGTGTCCCATGTGCATCTCTTGATGCCACGGCAGCCTTTCTCCACTGAACATTGAGGAAGATACAAATGTTTTTTGATGTGCCATCTTTTTTTATTCAGTGTAGATGCTTCATTTTTTCAGAAATTAAAAAATTAAATCATTTTATTGTCGTTTAGAGGTTGGAATAATTTCTCTTCACAAACTTCAAATTTGAATGAAAACAACTTTAAAGTAGTGGCATGATGTATTTTTCAGACACAATCAAGTGATACACATTACCTTCAGTTGCTATAAAATGCTGTGCATATCAAACATAAGTTGATTTCACTTTCTGATGCCTTGAAATTGGCCTCTGTCTCTTTAAGAAGCTCCTGCTCCTTCCAACATCCTGCGTTCAGCACATCCTCACAACAAAACGTTTCTATGTTAAGTACAACCATTCTTAGGAGCTTTGGACTGATAAGTAGTTTATTTATAAGCCTAGCAGGTTGCATTTCCACCAGGTGTTTACTGATTGCTGCTGCTAGTTTAGAGGAGCTGAGAGGGAGCAGCGCTTTGTGAGACGAAGCCTTCAGACACCCTGAATAATTACATCAGGAGATCCAAGGATTTCTCAAACACTATGAAAAAATGAAGGCAACACATTATAACATGATGCAAAGCTCAAAAAGGTTAATATAGTACTGCCTCTTTAAATCTAAGATACAGTAGAAAGATGGAACTGCACTGTGTCAAGATGCCGTCTGGTTAAATTGAAGGTCACAGGTTAATTTGTTTATAAGACAAAGTATTTTTCAGCTTGAATCATAATCATAAGGAAAAAAAACCCAAGATGTTGCTGAATTCATCTCCACAGTTAAACTAAACTGGATCAGGCGTCTTCTGCACGGCTGTAATTCAGGACCAGCCTGCAGCAAACAATCAGGTCTGCAGAGAGGCTGACCTTTCATCCAAACAGGCCAAGGGTCAGGAAAACGACAGCTAACATCTCTGCAGACCCCACACATCCTAGACACAATCTGCTTAGATTTTCACCTTCCAGACTACTACACTGACTACAGAGTCTCTACCCCAGACTGTCTCTCTGCGGTCAGATAATTCTACCTGGTCTTCCTCTTTTTGGAAAAACATTTTTTAGGAGTAGTTTTTTTTCCCCACATTTTCATATGTATTTATATTTAATATGTTTAAACACTCAGAATTTACAGTTTGTAATTTATGGTAAGGCCAAAAGTTTAATTTCAGACATTTAGAACCAATTTATTCAACTTTTCAGCTTCTGAACTAGTATAAATTATTCCTGTTTATTATGAAACATTTCTCCTTGCTTATGACTCCACAAAGCTCAGAACAGCGCCTTCAGTCAGAGAGTGATCACCTGTGATGACAGCGATAACGTCCAACACCTCAGCTGTGGTGAGTTAGAAATGGTTTCATAAGTTTGTTTCTGTTTTCTTTTAAAGACAAATAGTGTTTTACTGACGGACGTTGTGTTGACTGAACACTGCCACCCAGTGGTTGAAGGTGGTATGACGTGTTGACTGAACACTGCCACCCAGTGGTTGAAGGTGGTATG